TTTAAAAAAAAAAAAAAACCACTAGCCTACAAGAAAGGCTTGGGTGGGGCATCTAACAACACATTTCTTTTTAGGGTCTTAATATGAGCCAAAGACTATGAATCACACTTTCCTCAGCCCAAGGGCTGATAATCTTTAAAAAACAAAACAAAACAAAAACTGGGTAAGGGTGCCTCAGTCTGTTATGCGTCTGTCTTTGGCTCAGGTCATGATCCCACGATCTTGGAACCCAGCAGAGCCCCACAGCAAGGCTGGCTCCCTGCTCAGTGGAGTCTGCTTCTCCTCTACCTCTGCCCCTTCCCCCCCATGCTCTTGCATATGCACTCTCTCAAATAAATAAAATCTTTAAAAAAAAAATCAGGTAACAATCTATGTTTACTAAGTAGTCTCATAAAAATAAAATGTCCCATCTCCATGATCCTTTTCACTAAAGTCACATTCAATTCTTGCTATCTGGATAAGTTCTCCTAAGTCATTTAGGATCTATAAACCACTGAAATGCTCCAAAAGTCCCAATAATTGAGCACTCAGACTAATCTCCCATACTGCCCCCTACACCTGGACAGTACAAAAATTTTTGTCATAGCATATTTTTATTTCTTGGTTTTGAAAGTAGTATCACCAGATCCACCTGTAGTATCAACACCTTCCTTTTTTTCTGTCTAACCTTCAAAAGCCACAGTCCCTTTTTTCCATAAATCCTTCCCAGGTCACATTGGGCTCCAGTGATTTCTTCCTAATGTAAATTTCCAGTCATGACCATATTTTTGGCATGTTAGACTGCCATTTTACCTTTCATCCACTTTAGGCCTATTTTTCTAAGCACCTCAGGGACAAGAACTACTGCTTGCACGTAGTGTGTGTGTGACAGTTTCCAGAACGAGGCTCACAATCTGTATTTGGGTTTCCATTTACCAAGTTACAACTTTCTGGCCCTATTTACGTCTCCAACTCTTTTTATTGAGCATTGAGCTCTCACCTCAACTCTAAGACTCCGTTTAATCCAACTAGGGCATCCTTCCTACCAAGCATCCTTACGTACTATAATTGACGTTTGAATTTTAAGATTCTACAATGCTTGCTAAACAAAAACTAGATTCCCCTCGGTATTTTGTTTTGGCCCTTCTACAGACTTATCTCCTTTACTATTTTCCTCTTCCATTCCCTCAGAATCCAAACTACACTTCTGGCTAGACAACTTCCACAAAGGCTTCCTTGCAGCCTGCAGCCCACCCGAGCCAGTCCCATTCCCCTGCCCAGTGCCCATATCTAAACACTCATTCTCTTTCCTAAGATGGCCGCCACAAAGCGCAGGGAAGGCAGTGCGAGTTCCACCCACAGTTTCACCCCCGCAAGGCCACTATCGTTCTGGAGATGAGAATGGGCTGAAAGACGACAATGGCCCGAGGACGGGGAGCCTGAAGAGTGAGAAGTGGCCAACGCGCGCGGCAGCCGGGGAGGCCTGGGAGGCCTGGGAGGCCTGGCGCAAGGAAGACACACTCCTGCGGAGCTGAGACCAGCGTCACAGGAAGTGGAGGCCCCACCCCCTAACGTCAGGGGCGGAAGTGAGCGTTGCTGGGGCGCGGGTGTGGGGAGAAAGCGACTGTGGGAACGTGTCTCGACCGAGGTAGGAGAGGCGTCCTCGTCTGGCTTGGGGCCTCCGCAAAAAAACTCACCTTTAGTGTCCTGGGATACTTTCACCATCTAATATCTTCCCTTTTCCGCCTGCCCGTAGCCTTGGGCCTTGTGGGTTCTCAGTGCTGCTCTTTTGGCTACACGTAGTCCAGCCACCGTGTGTCCCCTCGAGGGCCTCCCTACCTCCTTTGTCTACATTGTTTTAAGTTAACCACCTTCCCCACCTTCTCCTGTTTAGTCCCATCGCTTAAATCTACTCTGATTGTTTTGTTTAAAGAAAAACGATTGTTTTACTGAGACCCCAGCTCTGTTAAGAGTTTAACCAGTTGCTTCAGCCTACATCCAGTCCCCAAACTTGACTGTTTCGCGTGATTTGTCTGTTTCACCGCGGTCTAGTACTAGGGAAAAGGTAAAGAATCGCCTGTTAACAGTTTGGTACGGAGGAGACTTCAGTGGACACGGCTGAATGATGAAGCTATGGATTCCAGTGTTCTAAATCTACTGTAATTAGTCTTTTTGCCCCCCGAGTTTAGGGTGGCTTTCCATAAGTTGCTGAATCTGGCGCTGATTGTTTCTCTAAACACCCTAAAATCAAGAAACATAATACTTGGTTCTTCCTTACAAACGTCTTATTTTTTATAAAAAAAAAAGTGTGAAGTAACTATGTATAAGTAAAACTTGTCAAAAGGAAGTTCAGAATTTCTTAATCCAGATATGAAAAATATTTTTTTACAACAGTTTCATTAGTAAATGTCATTAACAAATGGGCTGTGGAGCAAATTACCAAACTAGAGTTCCAGCTGATCACTTGTATTTCCTACCATAGATTCCAAGGCTGCTTATGTCATAGAATGGGGGGAAGGGGTGTGGAACTGTATGAAGGGCCAAAGGAGAGCTTGCTCTAGAGGCAACAGCTGTAAATCTAGCTAATTTTTAGAAGTTTCTTATGAGAATGGTTTTATATAAATTTAGTTTTTTCCCATAATGATTAGTTTATTTAATCACAGTGCTAAATAGGGGGAGATCTTTGGTAGAAGAGGATTCAAACTACAGAATCATTTCTTGTCTTAATCTTCCACATTTCTGTTAGACTTGTTCTTTTATTACTGTGTTATCCATAAAATGGATATTTCTTAAATCCTAACACTCAGAAGTTTTCCCTCAGTGCTTAGAGGGAGTGAGTACTAACTAGAGAAACTTAACCAAGTCTATCCATTTTAGTATAGGGGATTGGTGGAGGAGAGGGGAGGTGAAGCATCACTGCAGTAGGTGTGACGCTTCCTGATCATGTTTAGAAAAGTCATAGAAATAGTAAGCTAGGGGCGCCTGGGTGGCTCAGTCAGGCGACTGCCTTCGACCCAGGTTATGATCTAAGAGTCCTGGGATGGGGCCCTGTATCACGCTCCCTGCTCAGCGGGGAGTCTGCTTCTCCCTCTCCCTCTGCCTCCTCCCCCCTGCTCATGCTCTCGCTCTCAAATAAATAAATAAAATCTTTTTTTAAAAAAATAGTAAGCTAGGGTGCCTGGGTGGCTCAGTTGGTTAAGCGACTGCCTTCGGCTCAGGTCATGATCCTGGAGTCCCGGGATCGAGTCCCGCATCGGGCTCC